GATCTACCATTTGATCCAGCAATACCACTCTTGGGGATTTACCCAAAAGACTGACATGGGCATTGGTCTTGACATTACATCTTGGCCATCTGGGGAGGGGCTCTGTGTGCGGAGGGAGAACGGCCAGGCCAGAACGTAGGCTGCAGCACTGTGGAAGTATTGGGCCCATCTGCAGAATGAGGGTGCAATGTACTGGCCCCTCAAACTCCTGCCCACGGGCACCTCAGAACCAGATCTTGTTTGGAAATAGGGTCTTTTTGCAGAGGTGATGTGAAGATGAGCTGCACTGGAGTGGGGTGGGCCTTAATGCAGTGACCCATGTCCTTATAAGCAGGGACACAGGCCCAAGGAGACACACAGAGAAGCCACATCACATGGAGTCAGAGAGTGGAGTGCTGCAGCCAGAAGCCAAGGATGGCCCACGCCACCGGAAGTCAGAAGAGGCCGGTGGATCCGAACAGGAGCCTCAGAGGGCCTGGCCCTGGCCACAGCTTGATTTAGGATTCTGGCCACTGGATCCTTCTTTTCTTTCTTTTCTCTCCCTCCCTCCCTCCCTTTCTTCCTTCCCTCTCTTCCTTCCTTCCTTTCTTTCTTGCCATGGGATGAAATTCAGGGCCTTATGCCTGTGGGGCAGGCACTGACCCCTGTCCACCTCCAGCCCAGGACACTCCTGTAGCTTTGATGCACACAGCAGGTGGCCTTTCCTTAGGGAAGCCCAGGACGGAGTGCAGGGGTCTATGGGTTCATAAGAGGCCCTGAGGCCTGCAAGCCAGCTCCTGTGGGCAAGGCAGGATTTGGCAAGTGAGGTCCATCGCAGGCTGGCACAGAAGCAGCCATGTGGAGATGGACATGCAGAGATGGGGGAGGTGTCCATGGAAAAGGCCAAGAAAGAGAAAGGGGGCTGCAGATAGCCCGTAGCTGGAGGTGGGGATGCCTCCGTCAGAGCTGGGTAGCAGGCTTGTCCATGCCTTGATGGTAATTGACCGCCACCTTGACCTCTGGCCATGGGAATGAATTCCTGGATTATGGTGCCCAATGTGGTGCTTCTTGGCAGCTGCCCTAATGGCAGCTCCCCACCCTTCCTCACTGGACCTCTGCTCCTCCTTGGCTGTTTCCCTCCGTTTCGAGGCATTGGGACACTGACACTGATGGGCTCCAGGCTCTGTCTTCTTCTCTTCTCTGGCTAGTCACTCTTTGGTGAGTCTGATTCCTTCAAAGGCCACCCATCCCAGCTCCAACCTGCACCTCTGATCACAGAATCACTGCCACCCCATCAAAGCCTCCCCTGGGCCAGACCCCCAACTTGGTTGAGGCAACTGTCCTTTGTTTTATATTTATTTGTCAGTACTGGGGTTTGAACCCAGGGCCTCGTGCTTGCCAGGCAGGCGCTCTACCACTTGAGCCACTCCCCTTCCCTTCCCTCCCCTTGCTTGTCCCCCCAGCACTTGCCTCCTGGCTGTGCTGAGCAGGCACGCACTGCAGGGCCTTTGCACTGACCACCCTCTGCTCTGTGCCCTCCTGCGTCCTTGGCAGCGAGTCCCTGGACGTTTCTGAGAATCGCTCCACCACCAGTAGCCTGTGAGTTACTTTTTCTCAATATCTTCTATCACCTCACATCCATTTTGCTCCTGCATCTTGCACGGTGAGGCCCAGCCCTGAGGGTGGGGACTTTGGTCTGTTCCTCTTGGGCTGCACAGCAGTGCCAAGGACAACACCCGGGGGTGGCAGGTGTCGAATAAACTCTTAGGAGCCGGAGAGCACAGTGCTGCTCACTGCAGGTAAATGTCTGTCTTTAATGCATAACCGAACCTCGCAGGATACAACAGCTGTCATGTTTTATCCGAATTCTCGGGTGTTCGATCCTTTCGAGAGTGAGCAAGTGAGCAGACCCAGGTGTTTCCTGTTGGTGCCTCTCAGGTTCGTGTGCCCCGGGCAGCTCCGCCAGGGAGTCCCACCTGGTCCCCATTCTCCCTCCTTGATTCAGTCCTAGTGGAATTTGCTGAGATGGAGACCTCTCTGTGCTGTGGGTCTCTGGTTAGCTCCAGCAGGGCGGCTTCCTCCCTCCCTAGAACAAGACCCCACCCTGTGCCTCTTCCCACAGGCCCTGCCGCAGACAGCCTGAGCCTAGATGAGGAGTCCTTGGCACGGTGCACATTTTTATCAGGCAGGGTGAAATTCTGGTGGACGTCATCTCCACCAAGAGCAAAGGAAGGAAAAGCCCCCCGCCCTGTGTCCCCCTGCGTCCCCCTCTGCGCCTTGAGCGCCTGCGGCTTCTTGCCAGGACCTTCTGCTCTGTTCAGCTTCTCCGTGAGGCTCGGCCACAAACGAGCCGTTTTACACAAACGACAGGATTTCCTCTATTTGCAATGGAGAAAAATTGTGATTGAATTATTAATAAAAAGCGGGCTTCCCATTAAGTTTTATTAAATTCTATTTGCTTGACATTTGCCATCTTTTAAAACATGACTGTCATTTAAAAAGAAAAAAAAATACTAAGCCCCCAGGCAGAACGGAAGGGGCACAATTTGGGATCACATACACCTCCTCCCCGCCGTCCCCCGTCCTGCCTCATGAAGGCGTCTTGTACCAGACATTTCGTTCCTCTGGACTTGTTTCTCCATCTTTAAAATGGGTTTGGGTGTTGTGGGTAATATTTAAGCCTATTTGCAGATTAAAATTTCACCCTATATAAGCATCTTCCTTTGTTTTCCTCTATTTTTCTCTCCCCCCGCCCTTTCCTTTCTCCCTCCTGGCTTCCTTGTTTTCCTTTTCCCCTGCCCACCCCCCGGGCTGGTTTCTGCACAGACCATGGATGCTCACTAAACGTTATTCTGAGCCGGTGGCATTTTCCACGTTAACCATCCAGCAGGGTTGCCACACGTCACAACTTCATCGAGGAAATTTGTGGGTCTGCAGACCCCAGGTGCTGGCCCTCAGCCAGCAGTGACGTCTTGGGTCTCTCTCATGGCTGGTGTGTTGCTCAAGTCCTCCTCCTATAATTTCGGGACAATCTGGACCAGAAGGAGGTGTCTCTGGGTTGGGAAGGCAGACTTCCTTGATCCCCAGAGTTTCCCACAGCCACAGGAAGGGAGTGCAGGGTCCCTGGAGAGGAGCTGAGAGGAGCTGAAAGGGTTCCCGACAGGGCTGGGGAGTGACTTGTGCCCCTGGGCTTGGGAAGGAGGACAGTGATGTGCGCCCAGCGTCTCCTCTACAGCCACCACTTTGTGCTCCTAGTGACAGTCAGCATCCTCCCGACTCGCCGACTTGAGCACTGACTAGTTTCTTCCCTTCTGCTCCTTTTGGGGCAGCCAGAATTCAGAACCCTGCTGCTTGCTGGTCCCTGGGGTTTCCCTCTACGACCTGGGTCCCCTGCCAGGCTGAGGTAGTGACAGTGACATTGCCTCTCCCACAAAGAGGCTCCGTGGGAAGGAGGCCTGCGGGGTCCACAGCCCCAACAAAAGCCAGGCTGCCATCTGCAGCAGAGGAGGATGGGGACTACTTCCTTCACGAAGCCCTGCCACTCTCCTGCCTGCCCCATGGAGGGGGACACAGGAGACCCCGGGAGACCAGTAGCAGGGTCAGGAGGCCTCTGCATCGGGGAGCTGGCAGGAGTGAGTGGTAACCATCAGCCGTTAGGCTCTTCGTTTGACGGGGACTGAGGGATGGGTGACCTTGTGTCTGGTTCCCTGTGTATCATCTGCAGTGTGATCTTGCTACCATCCATCACAGGCCCTGGATCAACCACATTTGGGTCTCAATTGCACCCCTCCCCACTGAGCACAGACCCAGCACTGCCCCTGTTGTGGTCCCCAGGATAGTGCTAGGGTGCATGGCTGATAGCTGTGTCACTGACCAGGAATGGTCACTGTGTTGAGAGGATCCATGTAAACCTCCTCAGTGAACTTTTGCTGGGCAGAAGCTATTCCTGACCATATCCATCCAACAATCCTGCTTTGTAACACAGGGACCCTGGACTTTACCGGTGAGGTTGAGATCTGAGCAGCAGTGGTTAGTGACAGCTTCCCCCAGGCCTGCTGGCTGGACAAGGACACAGCAAGGCTGGCCCGCCTGGACTACAAGAGCAACAAGTCCTCGTGAAGATGTTGGCAAATGTGTTCCTAAAAGGCCAGAGAGTAAGAATGTTTGGCTCGTGGACGATGAGCTAATAACCAGCCTGACTGTGTGCCAATAAAACTTTATTTATAAAAATTGGCGAGGGACCAGCCTGTCATTTGCCGACCCTTGCTGCAGAGGACAACAGAACAAGAGACTCAGACCCTGGGACGTGGGTGGGATGGTGGAGCCGGGTCCCCTGCCTGGCAGTGGCCAGACCTAGCCCCCAGGAAGACAGGCGTGAGCGTCTCTGCTGCTTGGTCACTGTCCTCTGGTCTCTGCTGGGTGACCAAATGCGGCCCTCGGGTTTTGTCTGTGGGATCAGGGCAGCTGTTGGTTTCTCCCCATCTTCCCTCTTTCCAGACCACAGGAGCTGCTCTCTGATTTTGTCTTAACTACGGTGATGCTGAGTGGTGAGCAAGGGGTAGACTGGCTGGGAGGCCTCGGCCTGCTGGGAAGACAGAGCAGGGGGCACAAAGGCGCTGCCCACCTTTAGCGCTGGACGGTTGGGTTTACTTCCGCGTGGGGTATATACAGGGCCTTAGTACATGCGGGGAGGTGGCCGTCCTGGCAGCCTGTCAAGCATCACCGTAGAAAAGGCACGTGGTTTGGTGTTGGCCTGCACTGTCCTCTGCTGTCCTCCCTCGGGCAGAGTCACTGTCCCAGGAGGGTCTGCATCTCCTACTTGGGGCCAGTGCTGTTGGCTGCCAGGCCTCTGGGGTCCTGGGCAACAGGGCCCAGCCCTGAGGTGCACAGGGCCCAGCCCTGCTCTGGGTCTCTGGAATGGGCGAGGAAGGACAGGTTCTGGCTCCAGCCTGGGCCGCCCAGTGCCTTCCAGAGGCCCATGTAGCTCTGAGTGGTGTGAGGGGCGGGGTGGTGGCCAGGTGTCAGTGCCGCCCGTGTTTGATCCAGTTTCTGATCGTCCACTTCTGCCCCGAGCACCGCTGCACCACCAGCCGCAGCCCGAAATTGGCGTCTTTGGACATTTCCACCTCCAGGCACCGGCCTGTGTCTCTGCTCACAATGGGGCCACTCTGTGGGTGCGGGAAATGGAATCAGCTTGTGAACCAGGTCCCTTCCCGATGAGGGGTGACCTCAGCCCCACGCCTGTCCCACACTGCCGCCATGAAGTCCCAGGGGCCCTGTCTTCCGGTCTACCTTCCATGCTGCCATTCTGCCTACTTCTCGGTTCTCTGGGGTCCATAGAGGCACCAGGAAGCAGCCCAGTGCCCCTGCAATGGGCTCTTTCCCCAGGTGCCCCTCAGCAAACTTGGTCACTGCTAACCCTTGGTCCCCGACATCTCTAGTGCCTGGCCCGAGCCCAGTGACCCTGGAGGCAGCTGCAGGGGTTCTGCTGGCCTCACTGCCCACCCTGCCCTGGCCTCCAGGGAGCTTAGACCCTTAGTGGCCCAGCAAGCCACAGTGGCAGCTCAATCCCATAACTGAAGCCCCATTGCCCAGGGACAGCAGAGCCACTGTTGACAGCCATGAGGTCTGCACCAGCAGGAATGGTGTGACTGGAGGTCTGTGCAAGGCCCCCAAGGGAGGACAGGGTGCAGCCAGGAGATACTTGGAGGAGACATTTAGCGGCCTTGGACCTGGGTCTGGAGGAGCAGGTACAGAGAGTGTCAGGAAGGGCTGGGTGGAGCAGGACCACCAGGGGGTCCACAGCCAGGCTGGGGCCCAGAGGCCCTGCAGGAGCAGAGTTGTAGGGAGGGGCGGAGGTGTGAGTCAGAGTTTGGAATTTTTCCTGGCAGGTCCCATAGAGCTTGAGTCAGCAGAGCTCTGAGGAGTTTCAGTCTTTCCTCGTGTGGCCAAGCTTGGGGTCATTGTAAATTCTTCTGCCTAAGTCCTCCGCCCTCACCCCCAAGTCTGGGAGCCTGGACAGGTGAGGCTGGACAGAACAGATGCAGTCATCCCTCTCTTGCTGTGTGACCCTAAGCCAGTCACTTAACCTGTCTGTGCCATAGGGCTTGTGATGGTTTGTCTTGACTGTCAAGTTGACTGGACTGAGAGCCACTTAGGAGATTGTAAAGCACAGCTCTGGGTGTGACTGTGAGGAGTTTCCAGAGAGGACAAAGCGGGGAGATCCACCCTGAATGTGGGTAGCACCATTCACAGGTTGGGGAGGCTAGGTAAATCAGGAAAATCTCCTCTCTCTCTCTCTTTCTCTCTCTCCTTCCTGGCTACCATGATACGAGCTGCTCTGCACACCCTCCCACACCAAGATGGACTGAAACCTTGAGCCAAAATCAATTTTTTACTCTTTAAACTGTTTCTGCCAGGTGACAAAATCCCTAACCCAGGGCTCCTGTGGGGTCCTACTCCCCCACCCCACAGCTGACCCTTGGGGCGGAGGTGACCTGGGCCTCAGCAGCCACCCCCCAAGCCCCCCACTGACCTGGGTGAAGTCCCACAGCCGCTGTGCTGGCCTGGCCACATCTTCACACTTCTTCAGGGTGGGCGTGCGACCCCGGCCATCGTCCACCAGACACTTGGAGTCAGGCAGGAAGGCAGTGGAGCCCAGGGGGCCCAGCTGCAGGAGGCCATCGGCGCTGTACCTCACCAGCTGGGGAGGACAGAGGGAGTTGTAAGAGGGACCTATGGCCAGATCTGGGGTCCCTGCTTATGCCCATCTTCCTACCAGGCCCCAGACCCATCACGTGGGGTACAAACAGGCAGCCATGGGCCCCCATATCTGCTATCTATAAATCTAGCTTTTGTTTTTGGTGGTACTGGAATTTGAACTCAGGGCCATGTGCTTGCTAGGCAGGCGCTCTACCACTTGAGTCATGCCACCAGCCCTTTTTTGCTTTAGATATTTTTCAAATAAGGTCTTGTTTTTATGCCTGGGCAAATCTGGACTACAGTCCTCCTACTTATGCTCTCAAGTAGCTGGGATGACAGGCAGGCACCACCACACCCAGCTTTTAAGATGGGGTCTTTTGAACTGTTTGCTCTGGCTGGTCTCGAACCTTGATCCTCCTGATCTCTGCCTTGTGAGTAGCTGGGATTACAGGTGTGAGCACATAATCAGTACATCTAGCACACTGGGCTCCTTGAGTGTCTGGGTTGGAGGGCCTATCCAGGGGCCTCTGTAGTGGACCTGAGTGACCGTGGAGCGCACATGTGGTGGCTGGGCTGGAAAACTCTGGAAGATGAGGTGAGCTCTGCCTGGGTTTGGTGTGCCAGCGGAGCCTCAGCTTTTGAGGGAAGAGCTGTCACACCCCAGTATCTGGGAGCTTGAGGCTTGGACCAGGTGGACAGGGTTGCCAGGCTCTCTGGGATCTATGATACCTGCAGAGGCCTTGGCTGGTGCCCTCAGCCATGCTGTGGCCAAGAAGATGGCAGATCCTGTGTGGAGCCCCGATTCCAACTCACAGCAGGCTCTGCTTGGCCTCCCACGCTCACAAGAGGGAGGAGGCTATGGGTGGCGAGTCCAACCCAGGTCAAGGAGAAAGGAGGCCAAGGTCAGCTGAACTCCAGGCTGCCCCGGCTCAGGAGAACTGAACCCCTGTGCCTTCTGCAAAGTGCCTCAGCCAGGACCTGCCTTGGGCTCCTTTATTCTCCAGGCTCTGCTCAGAGCCAGGCCCACAGTGGGAGGTCAAGGACCCCACACAGCCCCAGGTGGGCTTCAACTGGCCTTGATCCAAGAGGTGAGCATTTGCTTCCAGATGGAGATGACGCTGGGGGCTTAGCTCACCTAACATCGGCTTTCTGCACTGATGTAGAGGAGGAAGTAAACATGTGACAAGGAGGCCTGCCAGGCTGTGTGACCTCAGGCAGTCACCTGTTCTCTCTGAGTCTGTTTCCTTTTCTGAAGCCCACAGGGCTAGTGCCAGGATTAAATATACCCTAGTCAAGTACTTAAGGCAACAGGAAGCACTCAGTGCATACATTGTTCAGTCTCTCTCTCTCTCTCTCCCTCTCTCTCCCTCTCTCTTACACACACACATGCACGCACCGCCCAAGGACATCCCAGAAGCCTGTACTTTTCAATGCAATCTTACTGGGGAGCAAGCCACAGGCCTCCCCACCCCCACCTGCATGTTCCTGTAGCAATGTGACCTTGACCTCCGAGAGAGGTATGGCCCATCCTCTCCTCTCTGGACCTTGGGGAGCATGTGAACATCGTTGGGGTGAAGTCATTTGACCTCTGCGTCTGGGTTACCCATGGGCTTTTCTGGGACCTGGCTCTGGGGATCCAGTGCAGCTGTGTGGGACCCGAGCACTGGGGAGGGGACAGTGTGGAGTGGGCAAGGTGCTGCCCACTGCCAGCACCATGCTGGTCAGTGAGAGCCCGCTGGGCACCAGTCAACCAATCCCATCAGGTCCTGGGGGGGCGGCAGGATGACCCCCAGGTTGGGGTCATCTGTAGGACTGGCTCTGGGGCCAGGGCCTTCCTGAGCAGGCTGAGGGACCAGCGGGCCTCAGACTGTGAGAAGAGTTTGTGCTACTCTGGTCAGTGCCAGCTTGTGGTCCTCTGTCATGGCACCCTCAAAGACTGAGGTGCCCAGGTACTAGGCCCAGGGGCAAAATTCACTGTCCCCAACATCTCTGCAGCCTCCACAGGGAACCTGGTGTTGGTGAGGTGCCAAACAACTCTGGTCACTTTGCAAAGAGGAGACCACAGCAGGCCATGTCATACTTGAATGGGACGTGGGTCCTCCGACCTCTCCCGTGGGGCTTATACCGGCCTGGTCCTCCCCTGTCCACCTTCCCTCTGCCGGGCACCCACTTCTAGCACTGGAAAGGGAGGCCCTGCTGGAAGTTCCCTGTCCTCTCCCAGCAGAGGGCTCACCTTGGACGGGGGTCACTGAAGCCCCACACTTCACCCGGCCACCCAGGGTACCTGTCCCCAAACGCCCTGAGGCCTCCCTGCCTGCACTCAGCAGTAGGAAGCCACAGGCTCCTCTCAGGCTGCAGAGTTGGCTGCTGTGAGTGACCGCGTCCGCCCTGGTCACTCGTGCAGCGTCTCATGTGCTCAGGGCCCCACCAGGGTGTGCCCTCTCATCTCGAGGCTGAGGAAACGAGACCACACAGAAACCACCCTGTATGCTTTGCCAGGCCCAGGAAATCAGGTCTCTTCTGCACCTGGACTGGCTCATTTTGCTCTTAATCAAAGGCCACTATGCTGAAACCCGCTGGGAGATGTCAGCCAAGAGCCTTTAATGAGGCTGCAAAGGTGGGCAGTGTGGAGGAAAGCAATCTTGCACCTGCCACTCTGTTGTCACAGGGCGGGACCCCTGTGGCTTCAATTATCCAGTGGATGCTCTTGCCTTCTGGACGCTGGACAAGTGACATCGGTGGCTCACACCAGATTTTTGCCCGGTGGACATTCCTGCGTAAGCAAGGCTCAGATTCCCAGGGCCTGTGTGTCAGTCAGCCAAGCAGAGAAGGCAGAGCTTGTGGGGTGATCAACTGGACTCCAGTGTGCACCAGGGCCATGGTCACCAGAAAAGGGGACTTGCCTGGAACTGGGACCCTCGGGCTCTTCATCGGGCCAGTGTGTCAGTCACCTGCCCCGAGCTATACAAGACCCCTGGCCTTAAGTGATCCTGGAGGAGCCAGGGTTGAAAGCTGCAGGGGACCTCAGCTGGCAAGAACAGTAGTGAAACTGCAATGAAGGCCAGGCATGGTGGCACATGCCTGTCATCCAGCTACTCAGGAGGCTGAGATCAGGAGGACCTCAGTCTGAGGCTAGCCTGGGCAAAAATGTAATGCTAAAAAGGACTGGGGACATGGCTCAAGTGGTAGAATGCCTGCCTAGCAAGTGTGAGGCCTGAGATTAAATCCAGTATGGCCAAAAAAGGAAAAAGAAACTGCAGTCTCTCTCCTGTGTCCCATCTATACTGTGCAAAGCCTCACCACAGTTTCCAGTCAATCCACACGACCACCTGAGAAGTAAGTGTCACCACTGTGTTTGATTGGTGAGGAATTGGAGGCAGGGGACAGTTATTGCTTGACAAGCCCTGTTTGAGCTAAGGACCTTGTTGTTAATTTACTGTGTCTGCTCTTTCCAGGTGGGCAGGAGAGGGTCTCCCTGGCTCCCAGGTGCTCTAGTCTCTGAGTTTGGCCCAGCAGCCTCAGGACAGCCCACACCGTACCCTCCCTCCAACCTCCCTCCACGCTGCTTTTCACCTGCTACAGTGCTCAGGGCTGGAATGCCACCTACCTGGGAGGACATTCCATGGCAGGGGTAGAGGATGGCCCGGTCGTCGTCTTCTGCCCCTTGGTCCAAACAGTAGCCACTGGCTTTGCTGTTTCTCACCTGCAGCCAAGAGAGACCCCAGAGTCAAATGAGAGGGTGCTGAGGCCTGAGAAAGGCTGCAAGGGAGCTCTCCACCTCTGGAGGAGCAGGACCTGCTCTGCAATCAGGTGTGAGCCTGGGCCAGGGGCGAGGAAGAGGGAGAGAAGAAGAGGAGGAGATGAAGGAGGAGGGGAGGAGATGAAGGAGGAGGGGGAGGAGAAGGAGATGGAGGAGGAGGAGGGGGAGGAGGTGGAGGAGGAAGAGGAGAGGATGGAGGAAGAGGAGGTGGAGGAGGAGGAGGTGGAGGAGGAGGAGATGGAGGAGGAGATGGAGGAGGAGGAGGTGGAGGAGGAGATGGAGGAGGAGGAGGAGGAGGAGATGGAGGAGGAGATGGAGGAGGAGGTGGAGGAGGAGGTGGAGGAGGTGGACGAGGAAGAGAAGGGGATGGAGGAGGAGGAGGGGAGGAGGTGGAGGAGGAAAGGAGAGGATGGAGGAAGAGGAGGTGGAGGAGGAGGAGGAGAAGGAAAAGGAGATTGAGGAGGAGGTGGAGGAGGAGGAGATGGAGGAGGAGAAGGAGGTGGAGGAGGAGGAGATAGAGGAGGAGGGGATGGAGGAGGAGAAGGAGGTGGAGGAGGAGGAGATGGAGGAGATGGAGGAGGAGATGGAGGAGGAGATGGAGGAGGAGGTGGAGGAGGAGGAGGAGGAGGAGATGGAGGGGGAGGAGGAGGAGGAGGAGATGGAGGGGGAGGAGGAGGAGGAGGAGGAGGTGGAGGAGGAGGAGGAGGAGGAGGAGGAGGAGGAGGAGGAGGAGGAGGTAGAGGGGGCAGTGGAGGGAGAGGAGGAGGGGGACATGCTGGCTGCTCTAGCTGATGAGGCTCCCTGGGGAGGGACAACCATGCTTTCTGCGTACATGCCTGCAGTGCCTGCACTGCCCCAGGAGAGCTGGCTCTGGCCCGTGGTGTGGGTTGTGTCGCTAACTCGGTGGAATGGCCCTGTGCTGGCATAACAGGTCCATAAAAGCTGCTTTTGCCAAAAAGCACCAGCTCCTTACTTGGGCTCACAAGTAGAAAAGCAGGAGGTTCCTGCTTCCATTTTGCACCTGTCTCCTTCACCCGAGTCTCTCTCCTGCGTTCATCTTGGATTCTGGGACTGATCTATAAAGAACCAGACTACCCCTTAGGCAGCAGTGGTGACAAGGCTCCACCTGACTAATACTGACTAACCAGGCTACAGTCTTACCAAGACAGATTAACACGATTCTTGCCCCTTCCCCATATAACATGTCAGTACCCCAAAACAGACTTGAAGTCACTGAGTCCCTTTATCTATTCTTCCTGACATGGCCACATTGATTCTATCTCCTTCTTCTGCCCCTTCCCCACTACTTGTCTCTTTAACTGGTGGATTGGGACAGGTGGCCAAGCCTCATCTATCAGGACTCCTGAAGCTGGGGCTTTTGCTCTAAAACTCCAGTAACACTAGGTGGCCTGTGACGAGGTGGAGGCTCTTCTGCCTTGAATCTGGGCTGGTCTCAATGTACTTCAGCCAACTGAATGAAGTGGAAACGGCCAGGTGTGAAGGGACCAGGTCCCTGCTCAGAGCACACACCCGCTGGAGGATGTGGCATGGTCCAGCCACCAGCCAGGTGACCTCCAGACTGTGGAGTGCAGGAGCTAGTGCAGGAGGGATCATCTCTGCACCGCATTCCAGCAGACCCACCTGTGACGGTGCATGTGTCCTGTTTCAGCACACTGTATTTTGGCTGTGGGTTTGCAGTGAGGTCCAGCAGTGGATCGCATTTCCCCGAGAGGGAATGCAGATCTGACCATGGACAGGGGAGAAATCTCCAGCAAGGTCCTAGTGCTGCAGTGTCCAGGGCGGGTGGTGTGTGGGACACTAGTGAGAGAGGAGGAAGGGGGCAGGGCAGAAGCAAGGAGCAAGGGAGAGCAGCTGCTTCTCCTTTGGGTCCCCTGGAAAAGCTGTGTGCTCAAGGGGACTGAATACGATGCAAGGTGGCCATGAGCTCCAGAGATGGACAGGTCAGTGAGGATCGCCCACCAGGCTGGCCCAGGACCAGTGTGCATATCCCCTCCCTACAAGAGAAGCCGGGCCTGGGGAGGGAGGAAACTGCTGGTGGTGGGACGCCCTCTCAGCACTGTGGGGAAGCCTCCCTGCCTCAACACAGAGCCAGGGAGCACAGGAACACAGAGCCCTCTCCCCGGCTTTAGAGGGAACGGTGTACAACTGTTGTGTAGGGGCAGTGGGGAATGCGTGCAGCAGATGTCCTGCACTCACTTTGTGTGCGTGTGTGCATAGGTATGCGTTCATCTAGTGCACGAACATGGTGAGGTAGTGTGAATTCATAAATGCATACTCCTCTGCGTGTGCTCAGATGTACCTGGGCCATTCTGCCTGGGCAAATGGCTCCATTTACCTGTGCACAGGAGGAACCTTGACCAGGACTCGTGCACATAGGTGAAAATGCAGATTGTGTTGCACACGTTTGTGTGCGCGCGAACAAATCTACAAGTGTCCACGTCCACGTCTACGTGCGCGTGTGCAATATGGGCACACACTCTCCAGCATGCGTTTGCACGGGCTTACGTACAAGCATGCACGTGCCCGTGTGTGTATTTCATCACATGAGAGCCAGCGAGTGCCTGCGCAGCGTGCACACACGTGAGTAAGCGCATGTCCACCACAGGAGCGCATCCCCGTGTCCGCGCGCACAGGGGCGGGTCAGGCGCTGGGTGGCGGAGGCGGTACCTCTTCCGTACGTGAGGGTGTTGTTGTAGACCCTCATCTCGGGGTACACGTTCTCTAGTACCATGGAAGCTTCGGCACTTCAGCCTCTGGCGCAGGGCCAGCCTCTCGGACACGTCCCCCAAAGTCCACCCTGGGTGGTGTGACAGAAGCAGATGGGAGGACAAGTGAGAGCTGCACATCCAGGGCTCAGGTCTCTGCCCATGACGGGTGGGCTCCAGGAGCCAGAGACCTTCCCCAAGGGAGCCCCACCTGCAACCTTGGGGTGCTGAGGCTCCATCTGATCTAGCCCCTTGCCCTCCCAGAACCCCCAGAGGGTCCCAGTTGTGTGTGCAGGCCTGGCTTATCCAAACCCTGCACTTAAGGGTCTTCCCCCACCCAGCTCCTGGGAGGTCCTGGCACTTCCTGCTGGGGACCCTGAGCCCTGGCACTTCTCTGGTCCCAAACGCTGGCACTTCCTGTTTGGGATCCTGAGCCCTGGCAACTTCCTGGTCCCAAACGCTGGCACTTCCTGTTTGGGATCCTGAGCCCTGGCACTTCCTGCCTAATCCGTGTCCTGCTTCGCTTGCACCTCGGCTCACCACACAGCCTGTGCTTTGGTGAGATTCACAGTGGGGCCTTGGCCACATGGTGTCAGCTTGACCTCTGGAAGGGCTAGAGACTAAGGCCAGCCACATGGGCCATCACTGTGTCCACACGACTGAAAGCTGCAATGCTGATGGTAGATGCTAGCTCCCTGGCGGAGAGCTGAGTGCTGTGGGCATGGTTCCCCAGGAGGAGACCATGAGCCTGGCCTCGCCTGGACCCACCTGATGCTTCTCTGCCCTTGGCTGATCTGAGTCTGTCCTTTCACCACAACAAGCCAGAGTCCTGAGCTGCTGCTTTGCTGAAGGCCCTGGGTTCAAACCCCAGCATTTGTTGCTGGGCCATTTTTGGGGACTTGGGGCTTGAGCAGCTGCAGGGCTGGGCCCAGGCTGGGGAGCAGCCAACCTCCATCACTTCTACCTTGTGACATCCACTAGTAAACCTGGGAAGATTATCTGTCAAAAGGGTCCAAGGTGACCACCTTGACTGGACCAGAGAGATGGAGCCCTTTCCTCAATGGCCCTCCACCAAGAGCCTGCCCTGGCCCTGGGATCCTGGAGGCTCTGCCTTCGACTCCCTCCGTGGGACTCTGGATGTCCCCGTCTTTGTCCACCCCACCTGGAGCCCAGCTTACTGTCATGGGATATTCCAAGCCATGTAGACGTGGGACTTGAAGTCGTCCATCCACACCTCGGCCGCCCGCAGGGCGTTGCGCTTCGGCGTAATAGTCGATGTCGTTGTTGTACGGCTTCTTTGTGCGCTCGATGTGGGCCACACGGGAACAGGGCAGCACCTCCATGCTGCCGCCACATTGCCACACCTGAGGACAGGGACCCGGTGAGAGGTGCTCCTGCTCACAGACCCCGTCCAGGGGTGTCTGCGCTGCCGGGGACCTGGCCACCTGTGGCTTCTTTCAGGGGAGGATAGCCAAGGAGGAGCCAGAGGCCGTGGTCATTGTCCACAGGGCCAGGTGTGAGGCTGCCGCCAGTGTGGGGTTTGTTTCTCTTGCACGATGTGTGAACACAGATCCTCTGACCCCAGCACCCCTGGCCAATTATTATCCTTTCTGGTGGTCCCTGACCCCTTCAGTGTTCAGAGCAGGCCGCCTCCACCAGGCAGCCCGAGTAAACCAAGTGAGACAGAACAGTGACCGTGCAGACACAGCCTCCAGCATCCCCAAAAACACAACCAGGTCCGAACGGAGCACCCTCCACGAACCACCCTGGCCATGCAGAAACGGATGCTACCCACAGTCTTCGAGTGGAGGCTCATGCTGGTCTTTACACTTCAGTAGACCTTTGCCCCAGGCTCAGTGGCAGGTCCAGTGTGGTCCAGCCTTGCTGTGCTACCTGGAGGGTCATTTCATGTGTCAACTGCCCTGGCCCAGGTGCCGGGGTAGCTGGTTAAGCACTGCTTAACTTTTACACCTGCACAGGGGCTACGGCAGGTGCCCTCTCCACCGTGGGCCCTGCTGAGGCCTGAGAGGACGCAGGCAGGGAGGAAGAGCTCGCTTTCCCGTAAAGGGAAACAATTGACCAGGGTGGCTGGGATTCAAGGGTCTGTGATCACAGAGGCTGGGAAGCCTTTAGACTGGGCTTACTTGGGCTCCTCTGTGTCTCCGACTGCCGACTGTAGACCTTTGACTTCCAGCATCCATAACTGTGAGCCACTGTCTCACAATACATCTGTCTACATCCATTGATACCCCACCAGCCGGCTTCTCTGGGGAGTTCTGACGACATCCTCTCCCATCCTGTGTCAATCATCATCCCCATGTGACTCCACTGAGAACAGCCGTGCAGCCCACCAGGCTACTCCACCATGATCAGTGGGTCAGAGCAACTTGGCTGGAGCTCCCCCTCCCATCAGGTCGTTACCCCAACTTCCTCTAATTTTCACATTTTGCCTGCCTTGTCTCATCTCACCCGCCTTCCTGCCAGCCCAGGGACAACAGGCATCACTGGTTCTGCTTCCCTCACCCCCGCCCCCCCGGCCACAGAAAAAGAGGACACTGAGGTCAGAGAGGCCAAGCCAGTAACCGGGCATTGCACAGAGTGGAGCTGGAGTCTATCCAGGTCTGATGACCCCTGATTCTGAGTCTCAAATCTCCCCCCTCAGTCTTTTATAAGAACTCTCGCCATTGGACTTTTTGGCCAGCCTAAGCCAGGGTGATCTCAAGATCTTACTCTGTTCCACCTGCCAAGACCCCTTCTCCAAAGGTCACATTCATGGGTCGTGAGTGGACATATCTTTTGGGGCCACCAGTTGGCCCACTGCAGAGGCCAAGTCCCTCAGTCCTGGAGCACATGGGACTCATACTGCCTTCTCCCTCTGTCCCCTGTCTGCCTTCAGAAAACAAAGTCACAGCCACACAGAACCAAGAACATCTGAAAACCATGGTGTCCCCCTATCTCGTCCCCACAGTAGAAGAACAGGCAGATTGGTGCAAGCTAGGCTCCCTGGACGGAAGGTGCTGCTCAGTCCTCACCATCCTTCTGGCTGAGATGTAATTCTACCGCTCACAGCCGACACAGGATTCCGCTTGGCTGTCCTACTGTCCTGCTGCTCCTCGGTGTCCTGGCTCAGCCCAGGACCAGCCCCTCTGCCATGCTGCTCACTGAACTCTGGCCTGGATGCTGGCCAGCAGGAGGTCCAGCCTCTTCCTTGGTGGCTGGAGTTCATGTGTACCTCCTGAGGGGCACCTACTCCTGCATCTTGCTATCCCTGAGCACATGGCCATCTCTACCTGAGTGTGGACCAGCCCAGTGAAGGGGCCTGGAGCAGCCTCCTCTACACGTGTCCTTTGTGCCTGAGACTCAGGGCTAGGCTTCCCATCGTACATGGCAGAAAGGTCAGTTGACAACTACTGACCAGCCCACTGATCACGGATCATGTGACTGGGGCACTGGGGACTAGCAGAGGACACACAGGGAGGTGGGGAGCAGTGCCGGCCCTGACTTGCAGTGGCAGGTGGATGGGTCCTGCTGGCCAGAGGGACATAAGGCCTGGGCACAGGTGTCATGAAAAGGAGGTACCACTCCCTGGCAATCAGAACAGCAGGCAAGCGCTCTCACTTGCAGGAGACAGGCCAGCACATGGGGACAGGCCAGGACATGGGGACAGGCCAGGCCAGGACACACTGTCTCTGTGTGAAGCTGCAGGAATTTCTGACAATAACCAACCCTCCTACTGGCTGACAGTGCACCGAGGTGGGACTGGGGGATCCCAGTCCTGGGAGAGTGAGAAAGCCTCAAAAGCTTGATCCTGAAGTGGGGAGAGGGGAGTTAGCCAGCCATGAGGTACCTTGGGGACTCACGGGGACATGCGTGGGTGTGGACAGGGTGCACTCAAGCAAGGATGGAGCCCAGGTAAAGCCAGGTATGCAGGGTCTGCAATGAATTATTAGGGTGTCAGTTTTAGGCACATCTGCTGTGTGGAGAATAGAGGGTGTGGGAGGTCAGGGACAGTGTTGTCTCAGTGAGACACGATGGTGGTTCAAGACACAGCACAAACCTGCCTTTACTTTACAGATTCCTCTGCAGCCAGAAGTGGCTATTCAATGTCGTTCTGGCCATTGAGGTATAAGCAGGACTCAAAGAATAGGACTTTGGGAAAGGCTGGGTTCATAAAAGGGAGGGTGCAGACTCAGCTGCCATCCTGGTCCCTTTCACTTTCTTTCTGCTGGAAATATGCATGCAAGGTCTGCAGGTGTGATAGCTATCTTGTGACCATGAGGCAGCAAACAGGAGACTCCAAGCCTACGTAATAAAGATGGTGGATGGAAAGTTCCTGTGGTTATTGTAGAGTTGCCACATCAGCTCTGCGTGTCACGAGACAGAGAAACTTCTATTGTTTAAGCCTGGGTTAGTGAGATTTCTGCTATTATATCTGAAAATCACCCTGCGTCAGGACGGGGGGCATCAGCTTCTTCCTCCTGCAGAGGACAGTAAGCACAAAGGAGCAGAACGAGGTGACTAGTCCATGGTTCGGTCCCACTGGCCTGAGGTGGGGCAGGGCACCTGACCATGTGCTAAGCCCCTGAAGCTGCTGCTTTCCCGAGCTGTGGAGGTGTCACTGAATGGAGTCACCTGATGTGACTGTCACTGTCACAGACATCCTGTGTTGCAGCCACTGTCACCAACCATCTTAGTGCATCGCCACCAAGCAGAGGTAGCAAAGAAGCAGCAGGGGACAGGTGTCAGGGAGCTACTCAGAGGGCCCAGATGTGTGACCCCCGGCCCAAGTCTGCATGGAGATGGTGGCTGCCTCCTCCCAAATGCAAGCTTCCAACACTTGCTCCCATCCCACCCTCTTCATGATACAGATGTCATTTTTCTGGAGAGACTCTGCAGCTAAAAATCCCCGCGTCCTGCAGAGAGAGGGTGAGCGAGGATAGCAGCCACTGGAGGCCTAGCGCTGTTCTTCTTGCGTAGCATGGGGCAAATGTCTCTATGTCATTCTTATGGGCGGCTTTCTGGACTCCGAGTTCATTTAATTTTGCAGCATGGCCTCCCACAGTGAGTCGTGTGGATGCCACGCTGTCTTCGCTGGTGCCCAGCTGTCTGCTTGGAGTGCAGAGGAGATGAAGCCGGAGTCCATGGAGGCGCCTGGCAGGCTGTGTGTGCTGTGCAGGATGGTATGGGAGAGGTGAGGCCCCACAGTCCAGCCTCTGTGGTCCATTATTACCGAAACAAGTGGGACTCGGCAAAAGGCCATCTCAGAGCTTCCCTGGGCTGTTGCACATGGGCAAGGGTGGCCTGTCCAGGAGCCTTGGCGGGGAGCCGGAGGAGCGGGTTCCCAGATCTCTGGCCTCCACCTCGTGGTGCCTGCAGCTCTCCAAGAAAGGCCACCTCCTCCAGCCAGGCTTCTGGTGGCTGTGGGGTCCTGTGTCACCTGGAGCATTTCCTTCCTTCATTCCCTGCTCCTGACCCTGCTGCTCTCTGGGCCAGGCTGGGCCCCTCCTGAAATTCTTTCTCCCTAGATATGGACACTTGGAGTTGCTACGGCACAGAGGTATCTACTCTTTTGCTGTCAGAAAAATATGTTGATTTTGTAAAAAACAAGAATTAAAAAATCATGCTCAGACAGAAGCTGTCAGCAGTGGTTATCATGGCAAGAGAATACTTTATGTCCTACACAGCACTTCTGTAAGGCATGGGAAGTGCTGCTTTGATAAATGAAAGCCAAGCAAAAGCGTGCTAATGATTTAATCACTTCTCACCACGCTGACTTCCAAGCCTCCCCTGACCTTGAAGTCAGCACTAGGTAGCTGATGTTCAGAGGACAAACTTGTCTTGTGTTTCAAGAAAACAACTCTAAAGCCACTTGGAGACCAGAACCACAGCAGTGTGAAATAATTCTGTTACATCAAGCACAGAAATTGCCTTTGCATTGCTTAAAACAGTAGAATATCAGCAATTATTCTGCTAATTATCTGATAATTATCCTGCTAATTATCATGTAGTCCAGTCTAATAATCCATTTACCCACCCTTCCACTCATCATCCACCCAGCCATCCATCCATTCATTCATCTATCCACCACCTACCTTTCCACCCATCCACTCCACCCACCCACCCACCCACCCATCCATCCACCCACCCATCCATATACCCAACCATTCCACCCATTCATCCACCCACCCTCCACTCATCCATCCACCCACCCACCCATCCATTCATCCATCCATCCATCCATCCACCCACCCATCCATATACCCAACCATCCACCCATCCATCCACCCACCCTTCCACCCACCTACCTTTCCATTCATCCATCCATCTACCCTTCCACTCATCCATCCACCCACCCACCCACCCA